TAGATCGATTGGTAGAACCGTAGAACCAAGGGTAATAATCCAACAGTACCCATTTGGTAAGATACCTATTTCAATTCCGTGATACTAACTAATTAAATCAAATGAAATCAAATTAATTAGAAATATGTACTCAAAAAAAATTAATAAGAAATATGATAAAATGGATTCGAATTCAAGACCCTTACAAAAAAACAAGCTTGTCAAAATGAAATATACAATTCCAACACATAGTATAAACAAGTATTCCTTTTGTTTTTCTTTATCTTTTATCTTTTTCTTTTTGCTCGAAATGATTAGAAAAAAACATTTATTTCTCAAAACAATCTTTATTGGATACAATTAATCATCATATAATAATACAATAAAATTCAAAATCTAAATAAAGATTCAAACAAATCCCACGACCAATAAAATAATCAAAATAATCATTAAGTCCAAATATACAAAAGAACGCATATTAAATAGCCCATGATCCAATTAAAAAGAATAAAACTCATTTTCAAAACCTTAGAACATGTGTAGAGCAACCTCATCAGATGGGGAGTTTATTTGGTTTGAAGAGATGATTAGAATGAGAGAGAGAGAGATGAGAGAGAAGGAAAAGGAAGAAAAAAAAAAAAGCAAAGGAACTAACGTGTCCAGTTGGCACGTGCAATGCACAGGTCTATTGGGTGCGCATCAGTTGTCCGTCAAGCACAACTGAGGAGAAAGGAATTGTTTTTTTTTTTGTGGGACAATGTGTCCCACAAAAAAAATCAATTCTTGCAAGGGGTAATCCCAACTTTCTCTCTCCACTCCTTTATCTCTTTCACATGGGTTTTTTTCACGATTTTAAAGATACCATGTAGGATAGAGAGGTATGGGAAAATGAGAGGAAAAAAAAAAAAAATTAACTGTTTTTTACGTGTTCAACTGCACACGCCTGTTGGGTGCGCAGGTGAGCCTAACGCACACATGTAATGATATACTTTTTTTTCCCCTTATATAGTAGGTCTCACAAAAAAAATCAATATTTTTAGGAGTAAATTTTTCTTTTCTCCCCCACTTAAGCAAAAAGTTTAAATATTACCCATTTTCTTTTCTCATCGTTGCCACCATTATCACCACTGTCACCGCCTTCTCCATCCTAAACCCCATCAATTTTTGTTGAAAAAAATTCAATAAATCTCTAACGCTATTTCCTTAATCACCAAACTCCAATCTTCAAACCTCCATCATCTACTCGACCTCCTTTAGCAACCATCACTCCCACTACCAAAACCCTAACTCCTAAAAACCACTATCATGACATGACATCCTTTAAAAGCTTCCCGGCCTCCTTCATATCCACCCCTACTCCCTTCACAATCTCCAATAAGCAACGCCTCTATCATGACCACCAAAGCTCTGGGGTTACAAGATTTAAATAAAGAGAAAAAACCTCCCTTTCAAAATGAGAGAGAGGAAAGAGAAAGAAAAAGAGACACATCGGAAAGAGAAGTTCCAATTTTTTTATTTTTTTTTTTTTTTTTGGGTCTCTAGATAGAGGAGAGGGTATTATCTCCTTAGAAAACCAAAAAAAAAAAAAAAAACAAAAAAAACAAAAGTTGTTATAGTATAGTGGTAGTATTCCTACTTAGGCTCTGTTTGGCAGAACTTATTTAGGAGCTTATAGCTTATTTTAAGCTCCTAAGAAGCTATAAGCTCTGTTTGGTAATGTCCCAAAATAAGCTCCTAGCTTAAAATAAGAGCTTATTTTGGAACGCTACCACGCTACCTTAGGTAGCGTTTCAAAATAAGTTCCTAGCTTCCTAACTTTTTTTTTTTCATCTTTATCCTTATTATTTTAAAAAAATGACATAATTTACCCTTCCCAATTAAAACCATTTTCTCTTCTCCTTTATTCACAACTTTCATCGCAATTATTATTATTATTATTATTATTATTATTATTATTATTATTATTATTATTATGAGATTTGCAACAATATTGCTACTTCATTATAAGATGTTAGATCATAATTATGCTAATAGTTTTATTTCAAAATGTTAATTTTTTTTTTTAAAGACAAAATGTTAAATTTTAATATGTAAACAAACTAATTTAAATTTTATGTAGATGTCCTTTTTAGTCTTTTTACATTTATCAACTTATCAAAAAGCTAATTTTACCAAACACTTTCAATCATAACAGCTAGTTTAACAGCTCTTCAGTTTTCAGCTCCGAGATTATAGCTTTTCAGCTTTCAGCTCCTAGCTTATAGCTTTTCAGCTAGATTTGCCAAACAGAGCCTTAGCCTATGTTTGACTGAGCTTATTTAAGAGCTTATAGCTTATTAGCTTATTTTAAGCTACTAATAAGCTATAAGTTTTGTTTGGTAATGTTCCAAAATAAGCTCCTAGCTTCCTAACTTTTTTCCATCTTTATCCTTATTATTTTAAAGAAATTACATAATTTACCCTTTCCAATTAAAACCCTTTTCTCTTCTCCCTTATCCGCAACTTTCACCGCAAATATTATTATTATTATTATTATTATTATTATTATTATTATTATTATTATTATTATTATTATTATTATTATTATTATTATTATTATTATTATTATTATTATTATGAGATTTGCAACAATATTGCTACTTCATTATGAGATGCTAGATCATCACTACTCGAAATTCTGAAATTTCCGACCACCTGAAAGTGATCTTAAATCAAGTCAAAAGCCTTGTTCCGACCACTTTTGGTATCCGGAAAAACCTTTGTTGCTATTTCCGACCACTTTTTGGTATCAACTTGATTTAAGATCATTTTCAGGTGGTCGGAAATTCCATAATTTCCAGTAGTGCATGATTATGCTAATAGTTTTATTTCAAAATGTTAATTTTTTTTAAAGACAAAATGTTCAATTTTAGTATGTAAACAAACTAATTTAAATTTTATGAAGATGTCCTTTTTAGTCTTTTTACATTTATCAGCTTATCAAAAAGTTAATTTTACCAAACACTTTCAATCATAACAACTAGCTTAACAGTTCTTCAGTTTCCAGCTTCGAGCTTATAGCTTTTCAACTTTCAGCTCCTTTTCAGATTTCACCTCCTAGTTTATAGCTTTTCAGCTAGGTTTGCCAAACAGAGCATTAGCTTGTCATTCAATTACTTTTTAGGAATAAGGTTCAAATTGGCCACTGAACGTAACCTGAAAATGCAATTAGGCCACTGAACGAAAAAAAAAGTACAATTAGGCCATTGAACACTCAAAAAATGTGCAATTAGGTCACTGAACTCTTCAAACGTATGCAATTTTATCGGATAGCAGGTTACCATCAATTTTAGCAGGTTACCTGCTTACGTGGCATCTTAGTTGGCATTTTTAATAATTTTTAAATTATTTTTTAATAATTAATTTTAATAATAAATTTTATAAAAAATTGGAAAAAATTAAATAAAAAATAAAATAAAGTCGTTTTTATTTTTAAAAAAATTTTTTAATAAAAAGTTATTATTAAAATTTATTAAAAATTAATTAAAATTCATTAAAAATGCCAACTCAGCTGCCACGTAAGCAGATAACGTGTTAAAATTGAGGGTAACCTGCTATCAGGTGAAATTGCACATTTTTGGAGTGTTCAGTGGCCTAATTGCACTTTTTTTTTTTCGTTCAGTGACCTAATTGCACATTCAGGTTACGTTCAGTGGTCAATTTGAACCTTATTCCTACTTTTTATAATATAAAATATATAACTCCCACTATTTACATTTTGATTCAAAATTTTATTCCTCGGACAAATCCGTCACACGAAATTTTTCTAGAAGTGGTTGGAAAATTAAGATTGACATATATATTTCCCTAATCGATCAAATTATTTGACAAAAAAAAAATTGTCAATACTATTGAGAATGAAGAGTATTGCTATGCCAAAAGTGGGCTAAAATTTGAGGATTTCTAACAATGGTTTTATATATATATATATATATATATATATATATATATATATATATATATATATTTTCTGTAATTTTTCATTTCTAAAAAAAAAAGACTTTTTTTTTATTATTATTAATAAATGTAATGTGCAAATAATCTATGGAAGTTTTGAGGATAAAAAAGGAAAGATAACTCTTTTGGTTATTGAGTTATATTCATAGTGTAGATTTAATCCCGCAATAATTTGAAGTGTAAATTTTATTACGGAGTATTATTAAGTGTTGTTTGAAGTGCATGTACATAATGTTGTCTGGGAATTCATAAAAATCTCATTTTGATTTGGATATTGTAATAAATTTTATCCATCTTCCTCGCGTATATCCTCTAATCAGAATCAACACCGTACCAATTTCCCTTATATGTGCTGGAATATATTAGTCTAATTAATATGAATGGAACTAAGTAAAACTCTTCATCTTCAATAGCAAAATTGATTATTTCTCCATGTTCATCCTTTATCAACTAGCTAACTTTACCTTATTAGTTGGTGAGACAAGTACATCTCTAAGCACAAATTATTCAATGCTGCATCATAGTATTGCCAAAGTTTTGCTTTTGTTAATAAACATTCCAAATATTGTGAAAAACGTAAAGCCAAGTACTAGGATCAAACCTCTTTAATTTTCTGCAAACTTTTCAAATATAATAACAACTCAATTAGCTGGAAAGCATCATATCCCCAGCCATTAACAAACAATATATATATTCTCAAGCCTTAAATTAAACAAACATTAAAGCAATATAAAACAAACATTATCCTTAAAGCAATAGAAATAAACAATCACTCTCACACTGTCTCATAAGCCAAAAATGGATTATCCTAAGATCACGCAAACAAAATCTCTCTCCAATCAATCAATATAATAGGAATGACAAAGTAAAGCACACACCAAAGATGACCAATCTTTGTTCCATGTTTCTTCCCTAGCTAACAAACATGGAAATTAAAAACCCTTCTTGCTGTCGGGTGGGACGACGGACATTAATCTCTCTTGATCTGAGCATATTTTATAAATATGATAATATTTCTTTATAAAATCTCGTATTGATCGATAAGCAGAATTTTCAGTCACGATCGACTAGTACTCGTACTATTAGTATTAAGATGGAAAAGACGAGCACAACTATAAACTGAACAAATTGCCTGCAGACTCATCAAAAGCAAGAGCATAATTGCAGCCAAGAGTGTGAGGAACCGCCATGACTCAAACACATATTCCTTCATGAGGTTTCCCATTTTAACCTTCCATCTCCCATTGTAATACTTGTTCACATCTTCAATTGCCTTATCCAAGAAGGGCACTTTGGTCAACCTCACCGATCTGCTCATTCCATTCCACAACTTAGCCACATCCCCATCACTCTTCAATCGGTTCAAAATTATCCCTCTCTCCCTTAGCACCCTCGCATCCTCTTCCGTATCAATAATCCCATTCATTAACTCAGTATAACGGGTAAATACTACGGGCCCTGAAGCATTACAGGCCTCATATGCTACAAGATTCCTTAACAATACCTGTTGAGAATGTTACAACTTACAAATTAGGATGATTGTTGTTAAGCATTATTGTTGGGCGTCGGCCAACCAGCCCTGCTCGATTCGAGACGTGGCGCTGTGGCTTACCATAGAGATATGTGGTTAAATAGTTAATGTCCACCTACCTATCACCAATTGGTTTTAAGTAGGATATGATAACCAGATACCATATAACTCTGTGGTTAAGCATGCTTGACTGGGAAGTAAGCATAGTGCAGCGCTGAAATCCAACAATTATATATATAAAATAAATGTGTAATGATTTTGTGGGCAAGATTTAGTTTTAACGTGAATCATAAAACGTACCTCGGTGTTTAAGTCTAGACTAATGCGGGGGAGATAAAGCGCCACCTTTTTGTCGTCGAAGCAAATGCTGGCTATTCCTTCCTTGGTGGGAACAAAACTTACTCCAGCTTCGAAGAGCTCAGTCACCGACGGGATAGCGATTTCCTCTACTAACGGAGGCTTGTCGGAGTCCGGCGGGTTTTCGCTTTCCGGTTTACCGTTGTCTTTCTCTTGATAGAGGCACAAGTAAGCAATGGGTTGTAGTACAAACTTTAGCCCAGGGAGATTCGACAGCAATTTCCATGGCAGCTTCAACATAACCTTAACAGGCCTCGACAACACAACTCTCTTGATCAAACGTGCCGGGCCTTTGTGTATCTTCACAACTATTTTCCAAACCTCGTCGGCGAGCTGTCGGACAGAACTAGGTTGTCCGAAAGATGTGTTTTCGCCGTGGTCGGTTATTGGGGTCATTCCGCCGTCACCTTCCTCGGTTATTTCTGTGGTGCAACCTTCACATTTGGGCACGATTAAATGGTACACAACGTCTAGCAAATGTGCACAATCTTTGATCTCCACTTTGGGCAATACTTCCACCATCTTGAATGGGGAAACCTCTTTGCAGAACCCAATCAGCATGCACATCAACGTGTTGTTTGCCACCTCCAAAGAAGAGGACTGAAATTCCAGCATTTTTCGCAGCACAAACAATGGGATTTGATTCTCAAGCATTAACATGTCCCTGAGAATGGCGTTGTGGGCAGATTTTCTCCCGGAAATGTCCACCAAATGCGACATTCTTGATGAAACCCCAGTCCGAACCTTCCCTTCTTGAGCTGCGTATACCTGAAGAAACTCCAGCAAGAACGAAGCGTCCACCGCCACCATCCACCCCAGAGTTTCGCAGTTGAAATTCAAGAACTTGTGGTAGTGTGCTCGAATCCTATGTTCATATTTGGTCACCTGCACAACCAAATTTAGAATATTATGCCAAACACCTTGTGCTCAGATGGCATGTAGTGACCTCTCTCATGTGAGAGGTTATGAGATCGAGTCTTGACTGCAGGGCCTCCAATCCACATCCCAGCCTGACAGGATTGTGATCTGGGGCCTCTAAGAGTGTCTGATGCCCACAAGAAACATACTTGTACACTATAACTGTCAAGTTCAATCCTGAGTCCTTGCTCATTAATTTATCAGGTGAGAATCAACTGAGCTATCTGGAATATATATCTTTACCTGATCAACAAGATGGTGGAACTTGAAAGTGTGCAAATTCTTCTGAGTTCTCTTGGCGGCGGCGAGCTTGTACCTCTCCATATCGTAGAGCTCCGGGCGCCAGTAATGGTACGGGCCGATGGCCACCAGTTGGGGAACGTAGGAGTCCGGATCAGCCACCATTAAATTCTTGGGTACGCTGAAAATGCTGACGGGGGTTTCGGACTCTTCTTCAATCTCCTCGTCCAGGCTCTGGCGGACGTGAATGACCCACCGGCGTTCGTCGAAGCTGGCGCCGGAGTTTGATGGCATGTCGGAAGGGAAGGCAGACATGTTTGTGGGATTTTGTTGTTTGTTTGTTGTATGAGATGTATGTGGTTCGAGAACGGCGGTTTAGGTTGGTATTGAATGGAGGGGGTTAATTAAGGCTTTGAAGGTTTAATTAATTAATGAATCTGTTTATTGTGTGATGTTACTGTGTAAGATCTTTTGTTGATAAATGATGTTATACCATTCTCTAAATATAGCTTTGCAGCTGTTCAGAATTTGTCTTAATGTTAGAAGTTCTGAGAAATGTGTCCAATAACTATTTTTTCATAAAGACATTTTTTATTCAGACTTCTTTTAATTTGTACTATTTTAACTCGGTAGATGATTTTGAATATTTTGAATATATTGTCTTGAGAAGATCTACCATGCCCTAACTTCTACAATTATGTTAATCTTAGTTGTTGTTGGATAATAAAACATCTATGGAAAGATCTCAATAAACGAATTACAAAATTTGCTATTGGCTAGCGTTATTCTTAACCAAAGTTGATAGATCATCAACTATTGAAAAGTTTGCTTGGATATGATCAGCCAATCTCCAAACATATTGTTGAAAAGATCTATTACACAACAATATGTTGTTTCATGATATCGTCTGGACTAGATGTGCTAGATAACTACTGAAGGAATAATTAAATACTATTTTGACATTTATACAATTATAGATTGTCTTATCAAACTTAATACATGGAATAGAAATTTGGAGATTATATTCTAAATCCCTAGCTTAATTTTATACAATAATAACATTATTACAATCTAAACAACATTATTATTCCTAACAATCTTTTTTTTTTTTGGTGAAAATTATTCCTAACAATCTAATACTATATGTTACACTACTTAAAAAAACAAAAACAAAAACAAAAACAAAACAAAACAAAAAAAAGGAACAAAACTTGATACGACAATATAATACGGAGTAGATAAAAAAAAGTAAAATAAAATAAATATAAATTTAATTTCTCTTCATATTTAATACGAGATAAAGTGAGGTGCAACCTAGTTCTTCTCATCGATTGCTATAATAAAGGGGTGAATTTCATTTTCAGAACATGTTCGAGAGACCACACTTACAGTATATTTAATTATTTATTGTTAGGACAACATTCCTTGAGCATTAATTTAGGTCCATGTCCAACTTTACTTTAATTAAAATAACAAATAAAGAACTAATAATAAACAGCAAAGTAAAAGACAATTAATTGGGCTTCTCTTAAGCTTTTAGTTCAAGGAATGAAGGAATGTATGTTCAATTAATTAAACATCAATTTTTATTGCTTAATTAAAATGGAAAGCGTATTGCATTACTATTTTTGGAATCTAATTATGCATGATTTGGAGTTTTACTAAACCAGCCTTTGCCAAAAATGTACCCTTTTCACCCCTCAATTACGAAGATATAATGCATTTTATTCTTGAATTATTTTTAAGTATGGAAATCATTTTTTTTACTCGACTAGTTCATCTAGGACATGTATTTAAAATTTTGTCAATTAAATCCTTTCGAGGATCAAAATGATGATTTTCATATTTTTTAAATTTCGTCAATTTGATCTTCGAAGGATTTAATTGATGAAATTTTAAACAATTCGAGGATCAAATTAATTCAAATTAAAAACTAAGTATTACATTAATAGTTGGGAACAATTGAGGGACTAAAATGGAGATGATTTTCCAATGATGTTCGTTTAATTTACAAGTTTAGACACTATGTTCTATTTTCCTAGCCTAACCTTCCAAGCCATGGGGCCTCCAAGTCTCTTGAATGGGTTTTATGGCTTGAGGTTTTGGACCTTCCCACCGATTATTAAGTTTTGGGGCGAACAATAATATATATACATATTGCTGAGAGTTTTTACAAATTATTTGAAAAAAGAAAATTGAAGAATAAAACGATTCTAATCTCAATTTGAATGAAAATTTAAGTTGTGTGTAATATACATTTTCTTTAAAATTATATTGATTTGTTATTTGCCAACACTTTGTGGTCTAATGGCACCCGGGTTGGACTCTCATATGGGAGGTTGTGAGTTCGCCTCTCAGTGCATCAATCATCTCCGGATTACAACGCTATATTTTAACACTCAAATATAATGCTAAGCTTTCATCAAGTTAAACAAAAGAATATGATGGGCCTAAAGAAGGTACATATTTTATACTAGTATATTATTTTATTGTGATTTTAGGTTTATTATTATCAAATATATTAATTGTGAGTTAAATCTTGTTAATTGTGTATTCTTGATAGGTTGAGACTTAGGGTGCATTTGGAAATCTAGAAAATGATTTTTGAAAATATTTTTTGAGTTTTTCGTGTTTTGGCTAGAATGGGAAAATAGAAGTCAATGGGAAATAGGGTGTGGTCTATGGAAAACAGAGGGAATTTTCTGAAAAAACGATTTTCCCTTTTTGGGGGGAAGTCATTTTCTGTTTGCAGCAGTGGAACAACTAATCACCCACTGCCGCCGCCACCACCACCACCATCTTTGTATATTTTAAATATTTAAAATTAAAAATAATTATGCACATTTAAAAAAATAATAAAAAAGAGAACTAAACACACCAATACAATTTGCCAAAATGCAACCAAACATAAAAAGAAAAATATTTTTTAAAAAATGACTCATTTCCAAACGGACTCTTAATTATTAAAGGAAATTATGAGATTTTAATGCCACTTATTTGTGATGTGAAGATAGATTCAATTGCAAGGGATTAAAGATTTCAGGGGTCAATTGAACAAAAAGAGAAACACCATTGGTTTTTTTTTTTTTTTTTTTTTTTTTTTTTTTTTTTTTAACATTTTGTTTTTGTTTTTGTTTTTTTTTTAAAAAAATTTTGTTTTGTTTTATTTGTTTGTTTGGATTTTTATTTATTTATTATTTATTATTAGTATTATTATTATTATTATTATTATTATTTACTTTTCCTCTATAAAGTATAAACACACGACACTGTAGGAAGGAAAATAAAAAGAACGAAAATATTGTGGAGTACAGCAAAAGTGCATCCACGAGAAAATTAATTATGCCCGCATGGGTAGCTCAACTGGTCATAAAGGTGAAACTTTGAAATAATGACCAGGGATCGAGTCTCACCAGCGGCACTGTACTGATTAACTCTGTCCGGCCGGGGTGTGGGGGCCCTTAGGATTGGGGTTCAGCCTTTTGAAATAACGAGAAAATTAATTACAATGAGGTGAAGAAATTTGAGACTTCACCGCAAACATTTCCAAGCTTATGATTTCAATTTTAATTCTCATTTTGATGTCTGAACCAACCAATACTCTTATGTGTAATATAGAATTTTAGACTTGTGCAAATGGATGGCCTTATTCACTTAAATAGAAAGATATGGTCACAATCAAAAACAGTTCCTTTTATAGTATTGTACATAAATATATTATAAATTATAATAAGAAAATAAAAATTTAGAAAATGTTGCGTAAAAGAACAAATATGAATTACAACGTTTATTAAATGTTGTCAATTATTGTATCGATCATACATTCAATGAATTGTTGCCTAATCTGTCTAAGTCTCAAGGAATCTATCTTTGTGAAAATGAAAATTAAATCTGAAATTATTTTCTTAAAATTATACATCAAATGTTGTGCTTAAAAGGATTTTTTTTTTTTTTTTTTTTTTTTTTTGAGAAAGAGAGATGTACGCTACTAATTCTTGGTTGAACCCCAAGCATAAGGACCCCCACACTCTGGTCTGACAAAGTAACTGGAAGGATGTAAATTATGGTAACTCAACTGAACATGAATCACAGAGACTAGACCTTTGGTTACTGCGCACAAAGAGTCTCCCTCGCTTTGAGAGGTTGCTCCCACACTGCCGCTGGTGAGACTCGATACGCTACTAATTCAATAATACATCAGGATGTATTTGTTTTTATTATTGAGGTTGTCTTAATATAACTAGATGTTGGGGTGTGTGGTAAATAGCTATTAGCGATTAATTATTAGCTGATTGGGTTAGTAGGTTAGATTAGTTGATAGCATTAGCTAATTGTAGAAATATGTTTCTTAAATTAGCTGTTAGCTAATAACTGATTACATGAAAAATGATATTATCAAAAAGCTGATCTAAAAAGTTACTTTGAACAACTTTTTCAATTTAGCATTTTGGAGCAATAAATTATTACAAAAAAAAAAAAAAAAAAACTAATTAATCAAACACTTACATTGAATGTTTAACCAAGTCAAACAGTTAATAGTGATCAAATAAGCCGATAAGCTAACTAAGTTACCAAACAGGGCTGCTAACTTTTTAAAATTATTTAATAAAACATCAACTTTGTTAAGCAATCTGCAAATCGTGCTGCCCACAATATTGTTGCTCGAAAAGCTGTTTCTGTATCAAGTTGTGAAGAATGGGTGGATATTCCCCCTATTTTTCTTGTTGAATGTCTTTATGGTGATCTAATGCATCAAGTTTTTTTTGTTTTTTTTTTTTTTTTCAAAAAACATCAACTTATTATATTTCAATGATCTGAACTGTAATACTGTGAATTAATCATTAATCAAAATTATGAAAAAAAATACAAAACTATTAACCGACTTGAGAGATTTGGAAGAAGAAGAGAAATTAAAGATTTGGTCACCGGCTGATTAACTTCTTTTATGTGTAATAACTAAAATATCTTAAATTCAGAATTCCAAAAACACCTCATTTTCAATTGAATTGGAAGACAGTCATTGTCAAAAAAATAGTTCCTTTCATAATATTGTATATAAATATATTATAAATACAAAAAATGTAAAAGCAAAAATTTAGAAAATGTTGCGTAAGAGAAACAAACATGATTTGTAACGTTTATCATGTGTTGTTAATTGCACATTCAATGAATTGTTGCCTAATCTGTATATGTCATATTGTCATGTGGAATCTATCTTTGTTAAATGAAAATGAAATCTGAATTTTTTTACATAAAATTACAAACTAATTTTATTAAATTATAAGACGTATTGGAGAAGAATTTCAAGCTTCTAT